TAGCTAATATTTATAGAGTGCTTATGGCAGGCTGGGCTTTGTTGGGTATATAAAAGCCCCGTGGGATAGTTCCTATCAATCCCATTCAACAGATGGGAAAACTGAGGGGGGAAGCAGTGAAGTAATGACCTTGGAGTGACCTGGCTTGCAAGTGGCCGTGCTTGTATTGGTTGATCAGCAAAATACACAGCTGCCTGGGGCTTCCAAGAATTCAGTGACACTTTTAAAATCGGTTTATCTCGCAAGTTCTCTGCATTTGCAAATCCGTTCCACGCAGCAGTTCAAGGCACACATCATATGCGTCCCCTCTACAGGCGGTCCTTGCCGGATGTGTAAACTCCCCAGCTCCCTGTGAAAATCCCAAGCCCTCCCCACCCCACCCCCCGCTATGATTCACTGTTTAGTTGGATCTTGTATTTTTTTTTTTTTTGCAGGAAGGGGAAACTGAGGCTTAGAGCAAGGCAGGAACTTCCTCTGTGTCCCCTCAACAGTTACTGGCACAGCCAGGGCTGAGATCCAGGGTCTGGGTACCCAGCCCAGGGCTGTGTGTGACCGGGCCGGCCTAGAGCCCTTTGTACCTGGGAGCCATGGAGGACGTGGTGGGGAGGACCAGGGCCACCGCCGCCTTGCCAGATTCTCATGGAGCCGTCCTGCAGGGAGACCGAGCGGGCACAGACTCCCAGGCCCCCGGCCACACTGGCTGTCGGCTCGTCCAGCGTCCTGGCCCCCCGCCAAGGGTGAATACGGAGCTGCAGGCTCCTGGGCTGCCTTCTGCCCCCTCCCCTTGGGTTTGCATCTCATTGCTGTGTTTGCAGCAAGCTTAATCTCTGTGTGTGCAGACTGAGAGGAGCCAGCTACCAGGGAGCATTGCCAGCAGCAGGAGGCGGCCCACTGCCCCTCCCCCAGCCCCTCACCGGGCACCTAGGACGCTCTGTGGACAAGGCTGCTGGGCTTGGCCTGGCCCAGGCCTCACCGTGCTCGCCGAGAGGGACCCAGTGAAGGACACTAGCCTGTGCCTTCTCCCTGCCTGGAGGTTCACATGTCCTGCCACACCCCCTCTGCTTTCTCTCTGCTCCTGGGTCATGCACTATAGACACGGAGAAGGGTCCGGGGCCACTTGCACAACACTCACACAAGTGATGCTTGGTCCTGGACACTTCTGAGGATGGAAGGGGCGCTCCACTGTGTGTGCAGTCAACACCTGAGTGTCAAACAGTGAGAAGTCTGTATGCTGTTGTGTTTCCCTTTTCGCTTTGGCTCCCGGGAGGCTCAGAACTACATGACAATCTTGATTGCTCACTATCTTACGAGAGATCATTGCTGTTTGGTACCACTGTTTATCTGTGAGGTCTCTGCCACCCTTTTGGCTGCTACTCAGCTGTCCTGTTTAGCGTGCATTTGTGTTGCAAGATGTTGCAGATCTGCTGGGTCGTGAAGGTGAGATGTCAGTGAGACACAAGACATGGCAGGAAGTGGCCCAGAGACGCCTCTGCTCGGAAGGCTTTTCTCACGAGCGGATGGTGTTCCCAGCGTTGATTAGACCCAGAACGTGTGTTCCTCTTCTCCCAGGACCTGCCGGCTGTGTCTCCCCTGCCCTCCCGCCGGCCTCCGTCCCCACCTCCCCTCCCTCCTCTCCCTCTTCCTCCCCGTCTTTAATCCTCTCTGGTGTCCACCTCTCCCCTCTCTGCCTTTCCCCTCTGGTCTCATCCCCTCCCTCTCTTCTTCCTCCTCTTCTTCCCCGCCCCCGCCCCCCGCCTTGGAGCAGCCAGAAGCAGACTGAGCGTGCGTATTCTCCGTCAGCTCCTAGCGCCTGGCTCTCCCCAAGGCCCTGCTCCAGCTCGGTGTCACATGCAGAACCTGGCACCTCTGACTGTTTCCATTCCACCCAAGACGGCACTAGAGGCCCAGAGAGGGTGAGTGACGTGCTCACGGCCACACAGCGGGTCCTGCACAGCCCATTAGCGGAACCAGGCTGATCCCATCAAACCCCCCACCGTGCTCTGCCCCTTAGCGCCTGCCTCGCCAGCCCTGGCAGAGGTCACGGGCAAAGAGCCTTGTGGGGCAGAGAATTCAAAACATCCGCCAGCCAGCCAGCCAACCAGCCTTTCCATCTGTGATCTGCTCTTGAGCTGAGCGTCGGGGCGAGTGGGATGTGCTAGTGAGGCTGAGCTCAACCACGGGCCGTTTGGTCTCTGATTCGTTTGGCAACTACTTACTGAGAATATGCCCCATGCTGGGCTGGGCTGGGACGGGGTGAGGCGAGCCAGCACTTAGAGTGAATGTGGAAGGGGGGCCGGTCCTACAAGTGCACGCCCCCAAGGCGGAGCGCGTCCTAAAAGCCGCGCCCCCGTGCTTGGCTTGCCTTTTGGTCACCTTGGCCATGGTGGCAGGTGCCGTGGGAGGGGCTGGCAGCTCCGTGGCGGGCAACTGTGCTCACGGAGGTGGGGAGGGGGCTTCCCAAGAACTCATAAAGCGGTAGACAATGAAAAGCAGCACGGATCTCGAAATATCTTTGTAGCCAAAATAAAGTTGCCTTTTAGTTCCAGTTTCCATGCCCCTTTTGAACAGACATGGGAGGATTTCTGTCCTCACGGGGAGTGAGCCGGTTCATATAACCGTGCTGGCGCAGGGAGGTGAGGCACCACCTGGGACACTCACATCCCAGTCAGAGCGCCTGGGCGTGGCTGCGGCTCCGCGTCCAGCCCCAGCTTCCTGCCCGTGTGCACCCTGGGAGGCAGCCGGTGATGGCCCAAGTGCCTGGTTCCCCGCCACCCTCCTGGGAGGCTCCGGCTGAGGGGAATGTTATTTTCAGGTAGTTTCATTTACACACACTTCCAGTGCGTATGAAGTGCCCGTTTCAGCGCTCAACAGTGCCCTGTCATCGGGACGCGGCCACACTCCCACGTCTGCGCGTGGGGATAGTCTGTGACGGTTTCACATGACAGGGGCAGAGGCGGGAGCTGTGACGAGACTGTGTGTGTGTGTGTGTGTGTGTGGTGTGTAGCTGTACAGAGACAGAGCAAAGGCCGGGAGGTGTGAGGAGCAGGGGCACCTGGAAGCAGGGCACACGGGGGCTCCTCCTCTCTCAGAGCTCCCCCGCAGAGCTCGACATTGGCACAGCTGACGGCTCACCGAGGCGTGAGTGTCCAGCCCAACTGTAAGACGCCCATTGGGCTGGATGTCTGAAATGAGTTCTGAGCTCCCAGCATTGGCCTGGCTCAGCTCTGGCCATCGTGGCCATCTGGGGAGTGAACCAGCAGATGGGAACACTGTGTGTGTGTGTGTCTGTCTGTCTGTCTCTGTCTCTCTGCCTTTCCTTCTCTCACTGTAACTCTGACTCTCAAATGAATAAGTACATCTTTAAAAAAAAAAAGTGAAAATTACAGATGAAAGCATTCGCAGAACTGCGCTCACCAAAGACCAGGCACAGTGCGACAAGTGCAGTGAAGTGGGACTTGGGCTAGGAGAGGACTGCAGGCAGAGGATGGTTTCCCAGGGGTGCTGCTGCGGGGTGGGGGGGCAGCCAGGTCACCCCATGGCGGGATGGAGCACGGGATACAGGTGGGGCCCTGTGCCGTGCTCCAGGGCGGCCAGGGCAGGGGAGCCCCTTGCAAAGCGCACCCCAAGCAGCGTGTTCTCAGAAGGTGCCCGTGTTGCAGATGGTTACCCCCGAACCCAAACGCAACGCACTCCAGTAGAAGGAACTCAAAGCCATCCCTTCTCAGCAGGATGTGCGGAGGCCGGGCCCAGCCCCCTGCGCACTCACACTTGTCTCTGTAGCACGGGGAGTCTCTCGCCAGCCACGTGTCCACATGAAAAAAGCCTGCCCGGAGCAGTCTGATGGGCTGCTGCAGGGGTGAGCGTGGGGCACCGGGGGTAAGCTGCCCCCTGGGACACCTGCGTGCCATTTCAGGGCGCCCGGGTTCACCTCCCAGCTTCCTGCACTTGTGCACCCTGGGAGGTAAGCAGCAGGCGAGGGCTCCAGTGCTGTGTCCCTGAACCCACACGGGAGACCTGGGATTGAGCTCCAGGATCCTGGCTTCAGCCTGGCAAAGCCCTGCCTGGTTTTTGCAGGCATCTGGGGCAAGTGAAACAGCAAATAGATCTTACTGTCTTCGCGCTCTCTGCCTTCCAAATAAGTCAGTAAGAAAAATAAATACATCGCATAACCTGCTGTATTAGATCAAGCTGCTGTGACCGAATGGCGGCCTGGGTGGCCTACACATTTTATTTCTCACAGTCCTGCAAGATCCAAGGTCAAGGTGCCAGGGCCTGGGAACTGCCCTCTCACTGCCTCCTGCGGGGCAGAGGGCCCTGGGCTGTCCACCTCTTCCGGTGAGGGCACCTGGTCCCCCGAACGCACTTGCTCTGCATCTCCTGGTGGCCCTGTCTCCAAATACAATGGCGTGGAGCCTTCGGGGGTCCCTGCTCATCAGCGGGATTCGAACGCAGTGCCCAGGCTCCTAACCACCAGGCTTTCCCACCTGCAGGCTGGACTTGTGCGCTGTGGCCTGACCCCACCCCACGGTGGTCACCGAGATTGTGGCCAAAGAAGACAGGGATGGGGATACAGCAGGGACCCGAGGCAGAGCCACAGAGCTTGAATGTGGGGGTTGAGGGGGGGGTTCTTCCGTTTCCAGACTCCTCCTGCACAGCCTAGGGCCCCTCATTTTCCAGCTCTAGGTTCTTGCCCCTGCGACCCCCAGCCCCTGGCCTCTCCATGCAGAGTGGGCCAGTTCCCAAGCTGGAGCCCCGCGCATGGCGCATCCTGGAGGCAAGGGGCGGGCAGGCGCCGCGTTCCCACCCGGGGCCCTGCAGGTGGGATGGCAGCAGGGGGGCGCTGCCGGCTCAGGACCCTGCTCAGGACCCCAGCTCCACAGCAGCCGCCGCCCCGCCCGCCAACTGCGTGCCCCGGGGCCGGCAAGAAGCCACATGCCCCGCAAGGAATGCCGGGCGGCCGGGCGGGGCGGGCGCCGGGGGCCGGGCCGAGCGTCCCGCCGCCCAGGCTGCCGAGAGCGCGAGCCTGCACCCCGCGCCCGGCCCCTGGCGCTCGCGCCGACGGGGCGCGCACGGGCTCCCGCGGAGGGGGCGCCCGGGGCTGGGCCGGCCCCCTGGGCGCGCCCCCGGCCCCGGCGCTCTTGGGAGGCGGAGGAGGAGGAGGAGGTGGTGGAGGAGGAGGAGGCCGTCCCGTGGCCCACACCCCTCCCAGCCGCCGGCGGCTTTGGGGCCCCGGTGGGGCGCAGGGGGCTGATTAGCCGAGGCGCAGGGGTGTGGCCAGCGGGGCCCCGGGGAGTGAGTCACACGCACCGCTCGCCCAGTCCCGGGGCCCGGCGCGGCACCAGCTTGAGCTGCCGCCCTGCTGGGGGCCCGCACGGGGTCCCGGGGGCTTGGCATGAGGACCCGGGGGTGCCGAGGGCGGGGCCGAAGCCCAGCGGTGGCGGTGGTGGAGGGCGGTAAGCCGCGGGCTGGAGGGGCTCCCCGAGACCGAGCGGGTGGCACCCTAGGCCCCGCCTGTCTGTACCTGCGCAGGGCCTGTGCCTTGGCAAGCTCTGCAGAGGGGGACTGGTTTCAGCTGCCTGCCCGCCCGGGCCCCAGTTGCACTGGAGTGGTCCCCTTCTCGCTCTCCTGGCCGACCTCTGTGCGTGGGCTCGCTGTGGGTGCCCCATGCCCTTTGCCCTTTGGCCATTGGCCTTGGGGTTCCCGGTGGGCGGTCCTTCCCAGCCCTGCCTCCTGGCCTAAGCTGCCCCTGGTCCCTGACCCCTTGGGGCTGGGTGGCTCCAGTCGTCCCCAGGACCAGCCCGGGATAGAAATGGCATTTCCTCTTGGCCCGGCTACAGCTGTTTTTGTTGTCTGTGTTCTCAAGCGGCTTCCTCTGGAGATGGCAGGGAGGGTAACCAGACTCCCAGGGACCCCTGCTTGCCCTCTCTGCCACTCACCCCTCTTCCCCTGTCTCTTTGATCGGCTTCCTGTGCCGGCCCTGCCTGCTGCTCCCCAGGACAGAATGACTGAGCACATGAAGGAGTGCCTGGCCCAGAGCAGGGCGGCCATGGGGGACATGGCGCCAGTGGTGAAGACGGAGGCCTGCTCGCCACTCCGCGACCAGGACTATGGCCAGCCCTGGTGAGGCCCTTGTGTGGGGACTGGGGAGGGCGACGGGGTGGGGGGTGTGGCTGGCTGGCTGGCTGGGTTGGGGACTCTGGGGAAAGGCACAGTCTCTGCCCACCCTCCTTATCCCTGCTCTGGGCTGGAGCTGAGCCCAGACTCCCTCGAAGCACTCAGGTGAGGCCTGGGAGAGGCCTGGGCACCCATGTTAGAGCTCCAGTCTCCCACACCCCCTGCACGGGACGGCAGTCGACGGGGGCCCCTCTGCCCACTGCTCTCCCTGTCTCCCCCAGCCAGGTCCCCCAGCATCCCTTCCCACCGGCCAGTCCCTCTCTGATGGACTCTCTGCTTTCTTTGCTGGCCCCTGCCCTGGCCAGCTCTAGGAGACCAGACCCCTCCGCCATGGAAGTTGAGCACAAGAAGCTAAAGGGGAAGCGAGACCTCCTGATGCCCAAGAGCTTCCAGCAAGTGGACTTCTGGTGTAAGTGGGGCTGCAGCCTCCTGCCCCTCCCCCTCCCTCGCTCCCGCTCCCGTCCCTGGGCTGGGAATTTGCATCCAAGGCACTAAGGACAGGTACTGGTACTCACCTGTGAAGGACCAGGTGCAGGTCCGGGCCTCGTGGAGCTATTGGGGTGGCCATTGTTGCTGCCATCTCCCAGGTGGGAATGCACCTGCCTCGGGTCCTGTAGCTCACGGATGCACGGTATCGGTTCAGATCCAGACCCACCGGCCTCCAAGGCCGCACTCGTCTCTGCTTGTTCAGACTGAAGTCAAGGGCACCACTGGCTTCCTTGGCCTTGGCAGGTGCATTCTTTGAGCCCCGGGGTGGGAGGGGAGTTAGGGTTATTGCTACGATGGCCTGGGGGGCTGGGGTAGTGGAGGGCCTGGCACTCCCCAGGGGCCTGCCATCTGCTCCCTGCTGCCCCGAGATGTCCTTGGGGTGGGGCTCCCATCAACCCCTCACCTTCTTTGCCGCCACCACTGAAGCCCTCTCTCTCTTCCTTGCTTCCCCGCAGTCTGCGAGTCCTGCCAGGAGTACTTCGTGGACGAATGCCCGAACCACGGCCCCCCGGTGTTTGTGTCCGACACGCCGGTGCCCGTGGGCATCCCGGACCGGGCGGCCCTCACCATCCCGCAGGGCCTGGAGGTGGTCCAGGAGGCCAGCGGCGAGAGCGACGTGCGCTGCATCAATGACGTCATCCCCAAGGGCCGCATCTTCGGCCCCTACGAGGGGCAGATCGCCGCCCAGGACAAGTCAGCGGGCTTCTTCTCCTGGCTGGTGAGTGGCCCCGGGCGCGGAGGGGAGCCAGCAGGGGGAGCCACGTGCTGGCCCCAGAGCTGTTTCTGCCATCTCTTCTGGATGCAAGGATCTTGCTGGCCCCTTGCCTTGGGTGAGTGTTTGTGGCCCTTGGTGTCCCAGGGCTGGGCCCAGGGAGCCCCCTCCCCCACACACCGGTGGTCATTGGCACATGGCAGAAGTCAGGGTGGTTTTCCCATAATCCTCCTGTGTGGGTCTGGTGGAGCATTGCGTGGCTTGCCTTTTTTAAGATTTATTTGTTTATTTGAAAGGCAGAGTTATAGACAGGCAGAAGCAGAGAAAGAGAGAGAGAGAGGTCTTCCATCCTCTGGTTCACTCCCCAGATGGCCATAATGGCTAGAGCTGGGCTGATCCGAAGCCAGGAGCCAGGAGCTTCCTCTGGGTCTCCTACATGGATGCAGGGGCCCAGGGACTTGGGCCGTCTCCTACTGCTATCCTAGACCATAGCAGAGAGCTGGATCGGAAGTGGAGCAGCCGGCGCTAGACCCGGCGCCCATATGGGATGCCGGCACTGCAGGTGGCAGCTTTACCAGCTATGCCACAGCGCCGGCCTCTGTGTGGCATTCATAAAGGGTTCCCCGACCCTTGACCCAGGGTGGGTGACTTGGAGCCACAGGCTGGGAGGAGGTAAGGCGTGGTTACAGCTGAGAAAAGCAGTGCGTGCAAGTGCGCGGGGCTGAGCCCTGCTCTCAGGGCCCGGAGGGTCTGGCCGGCTGACAGGCTGGGACGAGCCCCAGCACACAGAGTGTTGGGACTGACAAGGGAATGCATACGGGGCGCCTGGCAGTGTTCGTGGTACCCGAGGTGATGCCCAGAGCCCACCGAGCTCTTAGGGTCAACCGCTTTGCTGCTTACTTCTGACTGTGACCTTGGGTGAGACCTTGACTTCTGTGTGCCTGCTTTATAGCATGGGGACCACAGTAGCTGCTGGGGACTCTATAAAAGGAGTCAGCGTGGTCAGGTTCTTAGGATTCTGCTTGCACGAAGTCAACACCCAGTGACTCTCCGCTATTACTGTTGCCATCATCGTCGCTGGCCTGTTGGAGGGTTTGGGGTTTCCTTTAGCCTAGGAGGTGATGAGTAGGTCACAGTGCATCTGGACAGGGGGACAAAAGAAAGCTGTGTGTGGACAGCAGAGCTGGGAGAGAGGACCTTGGAGAAATCAGGTCTGGCAGAGGCTGGGGAATGCCTCAGGGTATGGACGCAGCCCTAGGTCGGAAAAGGCTTCCTGAGGGCTGAGCTGTGACCGAAGGAAGAGAGTGTCCACCGTGAAGATGGGTGAGGGGCATCCAGGTTGCTGGAACAGCATGAGCCAAGGCCCTGTGGCAGAAGAGAACATGGCCTGTCTGAGCAACCAGGCCGTCAGCATAGCTGGATTGCAGCAAACACAGCGGAACATGGGAAGAGACGGAGGCTTGGCCCCGTGGGGCACGATGGGCCAAGTTAAGGCCTTGGCTCTTCATGGGAAGAACAGCAAGGAACCTTCGGATTGTTTGGCGTTGGAGTGAGGGTGGCGGTGACCCGATGGCATTCATGTTTTGAAAGGGGGTCTGGGTGCAGCCTGGGTGAGCTGGTTAAAGAGGGGGGAGGGGCGGCATTGGTCTAGGTGAGTGCCCCTCCCATGTTGTGGTCAGACAGCCGTGGCGGGGAAGCCCGGGCTCGGGTGTGATGTCTGGGTGGTGACATCGGGCGGGCAGTTGGATGGAAGAGTCTGGCGCTCGGATCACCTGGGCACAGTCAGAGGGCGGGGCTGTGGGGGACAGCACCAAGGAAGGAGGGGCCGAGCCAGACCTGCAGAGGGCCTGGGACTGAGCACAGAGCGCCCGTGGTGCAGAAGGAGTGTGAGCGGCCCGAGCGGTGTGTGTGCCGGCAGACGAGCGAGGACAGCGGCTGCGAAGGCTACAGTGGCTGCCACGCCGCCATCCGCTGGGCAGCTGAGCGAACAAAGGGTGAAAAATGTCTCCGCTGGATTTAGTGCTGGGGAGGCCGCTGGCGACTTCAGCAAGAGATGCACCGTGATTAGGTCGAGGGGTCTCCACGCAGGGCGAACCCCTGCACTTGGCACATTTGGCTTTGTCTAGAGACGTGTTTGTGGGGGCGGGGAAACAGCGAGGTGTGAGGTCTGCTCCTGGCATCCACAAAGTCAAAGGCGGGGGTCCTGGTCGACATTCTGCCGTGTGCAGCGGTGCCCTCCACGGCAGTTATCTGCAGAAGCCCTGTGGGAGCATGCGGCCTTGGAGGCGACCAGCAGGCTCGCTTCTGGGAGGCTGGGCTGCGGGTGAGCTCAGGCACGGAGGAGACAGAGGAGGTGAAGGTGGAGTGGCGGCTCCTGCAATCCTCGGGGCCGAGGGGCTTGGTGAGAGAGGCCTTGGCAGCCCCAGAAGCCACTGGATGCAGGCAGAGGTGGGGCAGGTGGAGGATTGGAGCAGATGGAGGCCGAGTAGTAGCCCCAGGCAGGTGCCTGTGTCCCGGTTGCCAGAAGCTGTGTGCTTCGTGTCCTATGGCGAAAGGGAGTTTGCGGGTGGGGTTAAGTGAAGGCTTTGGTGTGGGGAGCTGACCTTGGAGCATCCAACTGACCACAGCGTACGCGTGAGCCTCTCTCTACGAGGGAGACACATGGCCCAAATCGGAGAGCGAGAGGTTGGCAGGTGCTGCCCTGCTGGCCTGGAAGACAGAGGAGGGAGCCAGGAGCCACGGGATGCAGGTGGCTCCTGAAGCCAGACAACGCCAGGACACGGGGTCTCCCCGGAAGGAGGCAGCACCGCCCACACCTTGGCAGTAGCACCCGTGACCTCTAGAACCAGAGGAGGATCCATTAGTGGGGTTTAGAGCTGGTGTTGGTGGCCAGTGGTAACAGCAGCATGGGAGACGGCCGCGGTGGCCCGTGGGTATGGAGGACATGGTCAAATCATGCGGCCAGGTGGACAGGCGGCCTGGGACTGGGGAGAACCCAGAAGGCGAGCTCAGGTTGGGGTGGGTGCAGCTCAGAGCCCCCACGAGGTGTTTCTTCTCCCAGAGCTGGTGAGAAGTGGGGAGGGGGAGGGGCAGCGCTGTCTCAGACCCAGAAACTTGGGGACAGCAGGAAGGTCTTGGTGCACGTGCCAGGAGTAGATTCCCGGCCGGAGCTACTGCCACAGATGGAGCAATGAGGGTGGGGGTGGGGAGAGGGAGCCAGCAAGGGTGGTGGCTTGTTTTTTTTTTTTTTTAAGATTCATTTATGTATCTGAAAGAGTAACAGAGAGAGAGAGAGAGAGATATCCTCCATCTCCTGGTTCACTCCCCAAATGGTTGCAATGGCTGGGGCTGGGCCAGGCTGAAGCCAGGAGCCAGGCGCCAGAAGCTTCCTCCAGGTATCCCACGAGGGTGCAGGGGCCCAAGCACCTGTCTTTCCAGGTGCACCAGCAGGGAGCTGGATGGGAAGTGGGGCAGCCAAGACTCCAACCAGGGGCGCCAGATTCTGTCCCGGTTGCCCCTCTTCCAGGCCAGCTCTCTGCTGTGGCCAGGGAGTGCAGTGGAGGATGGCCCAGGTGCTTGGGCCCTGCACCCCATGGGAGACCAGGAAAAGCACCTGGCTCCTGGCTCCTGCCATCGGATCAGCGCGGTGCGCCAGCCGCAGCGCGCCGGCCGCGGTGGCCATTGGAGGGTGAACCAACGGCAAAGGAAGACCTTTCTCTCTGTCTCTCTCTCTCACTGTCCACTCTGCCTGTCAAAAAAGACTCCAACCAGCGCCCGTATGGGATGCTGGCACTGCAGATGGAGGCTTAACCTGCTGTACCGCAGCACCAGCCCTGGGTGACTGGTTCTAAAAATCTGGTTGCCCTCTGAGCAGTTACTGTGTGTCCGCTGCATACCAGGCCACTCTGTCATTTCGTAGTCCACTCTTCGCCACAACAGGGCTGCCAGGAGCTGCGCTGCCTGGCTGGTTCAGTGGAGACACACAGGCCCCAAGAGGTTAAGCGACAGCCCCGACCGGCACACGGCAGGCCTTGGTCCCTTCAAAGATGGCGCTCTCCCGCGCACCAGGGAGTGGAGCAGTTGGTGTGAGGCCATTGTGGTGCGGGTCCAGAGTCAACCCAGCCTCACAGAGACAGGGAGACAGAGCAGCCCCAAGGCCATACGCTCGGCGCGGGGAGCCCTGCCCGTAACAGACACGTGTGAGGTTTGCGCTGTGCTTTATGGAGCTCGTGGTTCGGTTACGAGGAGCAGGGCTCACGGCGGATAGGAGGGGAGGAAGCTGATTTCCAGCCAAGCAAGCCCGAAGCAGACCTGGAGCACAGGGCGGAAGGCGGGGAGAGGGGGCTGCTTTTCACAGGACAGATCAGAGGAGAGACAGGAGGGTGGACAGGAGTCCGACACAGGAAGCCACGGACGCTCAGCCTGCAGGAGGACCGTGAGGGAAAGTCTGGCCCTGCCCAGCGCGGGCTGTTTGGGTGCCCTTCCCCCGCTGCTGGAGCCTGTGCCCCGGGACAGCCCAGCCGGGGAACGCTGGGAGTCGCCAAAGCGCATTCTGCCCGGCTCGCTCCCCGGCATGGCCTGGGTGGGAGGAGACGAAGGGTAGGAAGTCCTGGCGTTGGCAGCCTCACTATGGACAACCCCACCAGCCAGGGTGGGTGTGGCCTGTGGCCGGGGGCGGGGTCGGCATACATCCTGGGCCATCCGGAGGTTTGGAGGTCAAGGAGGTTCCTTCCCAGGGCTTGGGAGCTGCAGCAAGTGCAGGGGTGGGTGTCGGCAGGGAGGGGCTGGAGGTGGCCGGACAGTGTGGAGGCTTTGACCAACTTCGTGATCCCGAGTGGTGAGAGGCATTGTGGGCCTGGGGAGGACAGGCGCTGGAAATGACTCACGGAACAGGTGCTGTAGTGTGTGTGTGTGTGCACATGAGTGCATGCGTGCGTGTACATGTGTGCACATGCATGCGTGTGCGTGTGTGTGTGTGTTGCATGTCCAGGATTCAGCTGGGAAGA